GATTAGCCATCTTTTTCAGGGATTATCCTAGACAGTTTCACATGTTGTGCACAGACATGTATGTGACTCAGTTTCCTTGCCGTCTGCCAACTCATCTCTCTACTTGTAGTTATAAAAGTAGTGTCTTGGACTTTCCTTGCAAAATTTCCCTCAGATACTTTTGTCTGTTATCCTGAAATTACCATTTGGCAAACATTGTCTGATAAAAACTAAAAATTGAATATTTATCTAGTTGACAGGAAAATAACTGGCAAGTTCACTGCCTGTTACTGTGAATGGTTGAATTTTCTAAATTCACACCTTGATAATAAAAAACAAATAGAGGGGATTGTCGATGCAAAAGCATAACTCTCACCTCAAACGGTACAAGAGACAGTTTATTCTGGAGCCAAATATGAGTGACCATGGCCTGGGAACACAGATTCAGTTTACCCCAAATTCCATGTTCCAGCGTGGTAACAGTTACCTTATATTTTTATAGTAACAGAACAAAGACAAGTCCTAAACCAAGACACTCTTCAGAAACATTGGAGGATACATTCAGCAGGCAGTCATAGCAAAGCAAGGTTTGTTTTTACTATCAGTCTCAGATGCTATCTGATGACATTCTTAGCCTTTTGATTGGTGAGACCAGGTGGTCTGCTAGGATAGTACATTCTAAAAGGGTTTTGATCTGTTAGTCACAGGATGTTAGATTGGAAACAGAGGTGGACAAGGAGTGGCTGTTTAGAGGGCTAAAGATGGCCAGAGATAAATGGTAATTAGGCTCTGGACCTGCAAAATTCCAAATTCACCACACTCTCCGGAGTTATAATCCGGTGGTGAGCCTTGCAGGAAGTTCTGTCCAAGGTGCAGAAGTTCTTTTTGGGAACTTTTCTTTCACAGAATCTTGATTAGTTAAATGAAAATTTGTTGGGCATGGTAAGGCACATCTGTGATCTCAGCGCTACACAGCAGGGAGTAGGAATATGCTGTATCCATTACTTTCTGTAAATGTGATCAAACACCATGACCAAAAGCCAGTTATGGAAGAAAGAGTTCATTCTGGCTTATGGTTCCAGAGGGATAAGAGCACATTATGGTGGAGAGGCATGGAGGCCAGTGGCAGGCAGAGTTGCAGGAGCAGGATGTAGAGACTGCATCTCAATCCACACCAAGAAGCAGAGAGCATGAACTGGAAATGCGGCCAAGGCTGCACAGTCTCAGAGCTTGCCCCAGTAGCAGACCTCCTCCAGCACCTCCGAAAGGGTTTCATGATCTCCCAGAGCAGCGCCAACAAATGGGGAACAAGTGTTAAAATACTTGAGCCTTTGGAGGACATTTGTCACAGCAGTACAGATACAGAGTTCAAGGTCATCCTTTGTCACGTAGCTAGTTTAAAGCCAGTCTAGATTACATGAGACCTTGTTTCAAACAACAAAACAAAACAAAAATTTAATGAAAATTCCTGCAAAGGGGAGCATTTGTAGGTTCTTGTGCCTTTTAAAAATCTATAATTTTTATCTAACGGGGTTGTAAACTGTTCATTAGTTTAAGAAAAATAGCTAAATAAGAAGTGCTAATTGAACCTCTTCTGATTAGAACTTAGAACATTACAAGATACTGTTATCCCTATTCAAACAAAAGCAGCTTCAAAAATCCCATTTTTTTTTTTTTTGTAGCTGTTAGTTTGTTTTCTCTTCTTTGAGACAGAGCCTCATGTAGTTTAAGCTGGCCTCCAACCCCATGTGTAGCTAAGGATGACCTTGACTCATCTTCCTATATCTTTCTCCAATGCTTAAATAACAAGTATACAGTATCTTAGTTTACCTTTTTAACCAAGCAGAAAAGTAATGCAAAAAGAAACATGAATAAACTGAATTTCAGAATGTGACAAGTCCTTCAAAGAAAGAGAAAAATAATATTCATAATTATAGCCGTTCCTGATGGAACAAGAACTCAGCACTTACAAGGTTGAAGAGAAGCCAGGTTAACAGCTGCCAACTGTTAATCAATTACATTCAATTGACTATGCGATGTTCAGGAATTGAAAGGAACTCTGGTACACAGCAGTACTGCACTGCTTACCAGCTCCTTCTCTCAGCTGCCATGGGCAGAGAATGGGTGGACCAATGTCAGGACCACTGGCAAAGACTGTTAAAAAGACTGAGGTGTCGGTGGAGGGCACGGAAGACTAGGAGTGGTACAGAGCTGCTGAAACAGAGCTCCCCACTTCTTCTGCAACGTGGGAAAACAGCAACAGCTAGAATCTAAAAGCATATCTGCACCGAAACTGGAAACACTTCTAAGCCATCTCACGTTTAAGGACTGCACGTTAACTGAGTGTACTGCAGAGGTCCTGAAAAAACAACCTGAGATTTGGATGGGAAGGAATTTGAAGGCAAGACTAGAAAGAGCCAACTCAAAGACAAGCTGGCAGCTGTCTCGACCAGCAGCAAAAAAAAAATCTCATGAGACTTACCAAGGCTCTGTGCCGAAGAAGCAGCTAAAATCCCATCCTCCAGGTATCTGAAGTCAGTGGTCAGCTGAACCTCAACAAAGCCACAAAGATAAGCACATCAACTCATTCTACAGATTAATTTGGCATGGACACCACTATAGCTGTCTTGGTTTTCTTAAAACTGTGTGCTCATTATGGGAGTAAATAGCATTTACTTTCATCCTATATTACAGTGTAAAGCATGCAACGATATTACAAGACATTCAACAAGGAAGAGAGGGGGATGCAGTCAGTCAAAGAGAGGCACAGTCCACAGAGCACATGGGAAATGTTCCATGTGCCGAAACGATCACTGAAGGGCATTAAAATAAGCACAATGGACATTCTACAGAATATATTGTAAATGTTATCCAATACATTATGTTAGCAAATGTGTAAAAGGAGAAATTTCATCAATGAAATGGAAGTTGTAATAAAGAACAAATCAGAGATCTGCGTAATACCAGAACACTGTTTAAAATTAGATGAATTTGTAACAAAAACAACACAGAAGGGTAAGCGCTCAGCAAACTTGAAGAGGATCAAAAGAAATTATTTGAACTGAAAGAACAGAAACAACCTGAGAATATTAGTAAAGTCACAGGAAGACCACACTGCTCAATAGTTTGCCTTAACTCTGCTGCAAGCTTTACGTTACATTTTTAATTAATCTAGCATTTATGGAATTCAGTTTCCTGATGAGGGTGAGAAAGAATGAGGCAGAAAAAGTATTTGAAGTAAAAATGATCCTAAATTGATGAAGGGCAGCAACCTACAGATTCAATAAACTTTGAAAATCCCAGACACAAAGAATGCAAAGAAACCATTTAAGCATAGAAACTCTAAATCCAATCATAAATGAGAAAATCAGAGACGTAGTGGGGATAAGGAACTGAGAAATATTGGAGAAAATACATTCTAGCCAGGAAAATGATTAAGGACACTGTGTTTCTCATCAGAAATGGAGAGCAGAACACAATGGAGCATAATAATGCATACTCTATAATTCCACTGGCATGGAAAAAGGGAGAAATAAAACATAACCATTTAATAAAAATTAGACATAACTGACTAATATTGGGGGTTGACTGCAGGCGATCATGAGGACACTTTCTGTGATGATAAATGCTTTTACCTCACACTGGGTAACAGTACGTAGCATGTGCAGAATTGCCAAGCTTTATCAAACATGTTCATGGAGTTTTAAATGTAAATTATGCATCTGTAGAAAAACGCAAAGTCAACAGAGACACCAGCAACATTAGCAAAAACATTTAATGACCCTGTGATGTATAATTGAATTGTAAACATGATAATTAGTGAGAAGCTTGTGATACCTTTGGTTCATGGGCATATCACCTGGTCAGCTTTTATTCTTTGACAATGGATGCATGCCTAGGATTCAGGAAACATCCCTTAGCAGGCTTAAGAAGACCCCCAACCACTAGTCACTGCTTACTCTTCCTTGTGCTGGTAGCAACAGATTCCCAAGGAAGTTTATTATTGTTTTGGTATTATATCAACTTAAGGAATACACACTGACAAGACCTTTTGGTGAAGTTAAAAAGTGTGTGCATTCCTATATTGAATAAATATTTATTTAATAAAAAATACTAAACCCTCATTAACAAAGTTGAAATCTCACCAGAATAGAAACATACAGGAACACTGTTCAGGGGGTTGACTAGAAGGTACTTTTAGAATATTGTCTACTACAAAGAATGAGATGATGAAGGCATGTAAGAATTTGGTTCCATGTAGAAATTTTTCTTAATTTTCTAGATTTAATTATTTTTATTTTATGTGCATGAGTGTTAGGCCTGCATGTATGTATGTATACCCGTTTCATATGGTACCCATGGAGGACAGAAGATGGCAGCAGATACCCTGGAACTGAAGTTATGGATGGTTGTTAGCCACCATGTGGGTGCTGGAATTTGAACCTGGGTATCCTACAAGAGCAACCAATGCTCTTAACCACTGAGCCATCTCTCCAACCCTGTAGACATTTTTCCTGATTAACTCTGACCTGTTTTAACTATAACAGAAAATTCTGTGTCTTTAATGCAATTCATTGAAGATAAATTTTATATACTGTATGTTTTAAAAAATATTTTTTTATTGAAAGTTGGTACCTACCTTAAATGGTATCACCTTTCACCCATAAAAATTTCACTTTGTAAAATATTTGACAAATATTGACCCACTGTATATCGTACACGAAGGAATAAGTATGTCAGTTGTAATATGAAGGGTAATGTTCTTACAATGATTTTAAGTCTATTCCATAAGTGAGATTTGTGCATAAATGTTAATGATAATTGTTATTTATATTTATTTTAATAATAGAGTTTTTATTTTAAGAGAGTCTACATTACTAAAATCACTCATGGTTTCTTACATACACTAGAAATCTGTTGTGTTTTCCAAGTATGGCTTTTAGGAAGAGATGGAATTTCAGTTTTCTAGGGAGTACAGATATAATACAAACATATTAAATCGATATTTCCTGTGCTACTAGGTACTCAGGTCAAAGAATTCCCAACACTTCTCCACTGTGCAGCAAAATTCGGCCTAAAGAATCTGGCTGTACATCTGCTTCAGTGTTCAGGAGCAACCTGGGAAGCTCAGATGAAGAACATGTATGGTTCAGATCTGGCACATATTGCTGAAAGACATGGTCACAAAGAACTCAAGAAAATCTTTGAAGACTTTACAGTAAGTTTTCTTTTTTGCTCTCATTTTATCACCACAGCTGCTGTTTATAAAGTAACTGTACATGTGTGTATATGAGCACACACATTGCTGTTTTGAAAATTAATGCTGTCATACAGCTAACAAAGTGTCTGATGATGGCATGTGTTGGTTCTGAGTTGCCCTTTATCTTAATAAACATTTTGTAAGATTTGTAAGCTTGGACTGATATTGCCACAAACTAGCTCTGATATCCATCCCTAAACATCTACTTTTGCAACCCATCTGTCCTTCTGGCATCTAGAGCCTATTCAGTATTTGAGAAAAGATGGTGACATGGAAATAAACCTATTTACATTTGCTTCTTTATTAAAAATCCAGTTAAGCTATTTATTAGGAACATGCAAACACGTAAGTAAGTTCTGGGTTAAAGGGACACTTTGGCAATCATTCAAAATGTTTGCCCAATGAAAAACTAATTCATATCATTTGACTTTAATTTCCTTTCTATTTTTGTGAAAAATGTCACAGGGATTTTTATTGGGATTGCATTGAATCTGTAAATTACCTTTAGGAGGGTGGTCATTTTCACCATATTGACTCCACCAATGCATGAACACAAGAGGTCTTTCATCTCCTTGTGTCTTCTTCAGAGTTTCTTCTAAGATTTAAGTTTTCATTGAATAGGTTTTTAATGTCCTTGGTTTAGATATTGCTTTGAGGTTATTGGGAATGGAAGTGTTTCCCTGAACTCTTTCTCTAATTTTTTGTTGTTTGTATATAGAAAGGCTACTGGGTTTGTAGATTGATTTTGTACCCTGCCACCTTGCTGAAAGTGTTGACCATTTTGAGAAGTTTTCTGGTGGAAGTTTTTGTATATTTTATATCATTTGGCAAATGAGAATAATTTGACTTCTTCTTTTCCAACTAGTGCCCCTTTAATTTCCTTCTCTTGTCTTATTGCTCCAGCAAGAGTTTCAAGCACTTATATGGAAAAGGGGTGGGAATAGCAGACATCCTTGTCTGGTTCTTTATTTTAATAGTAATGCTTCAAGTTTTTCTCCATTTAGAATGATATTGGCTGTGGATTTGTTATGTATAGCCGTAACTATGTTGAGGTATGCTCCATGCAGTCCAAAAAAGTTTGCTAGGATTTTTATTACGATTGCATGTTAGATTTTGTCAAAGGCCTTTTTTATTTCTATTGAGATGATCCTGGGATTTTTGTTTTTGAGACCATATATATGATTTGTTATGTTTGTTGACTTACTTATATTGAACCATCCCTGAATCTCTGGAATATAACCAGCTTGGTTGTGGTGGATGATCTTTTTGATGTGTGTCTGTATGCAGTTTTGTGTGATTCCTTTTCTCCGCGTTAAGTCTCAGTTCATTATTATTATTTCTGTTGAAGCTCTACATTTCAGAACACTCTTTGACAGACTAGAGTTCCATGAGAAAGCTACAAATGGAATATTTGAGAAGGAAAATATTTCAGTAAATAATACACACATTGTGTTTCCATAATCAAGTTTAGAAAAGTCATTGCCATAACAAAAATGTACACGTTTTCTTGAAATTGTGCTGAATTGTGAAATTGTGAAATTGTGTGAATTGTGCTTCTGATGGAACTTGGAAGGTACAGTGGGGTGGAAATTATGCTGGTGAACATGTTAAAATTTACTTTTGGATTCTCACAAGAGATACAATTTTGTTATCAATAAATAGTTCATATAGAATGTTGAAATGTTACAGTTTCTGGCTATTTTAGCACTTACACTAATTATCAGAGTAAGTCCATTGAGTATTGGACTTATGTAAATCATCATGATTTGTTGTTCCCAAAGAATAAAATGACAATCAATGAAACTCTTTTCTCTTTATAAGGAATGGCAAAATACTTGTCCAGGAGGTCATGGAGACCAACCGCTCTCTGAAATTACAATAGAATGTTTTTGCCTATATTTAAAATAAACTTAGAACGTGTAGTCTTGTAATGAAATTAATAAAGTACTAATTTTCAGTTTAAATCCTTCCAAACAGAAGTGTGCATTGTAGATAGTGACCATCATACTTGCTGAGGTTGCATGATTCTTTCTAGTGTGATGAGTACAGCCAGTTTAGTATCCGTCCATTTTATGAGGTCATTGACCAGAACAATGTGGCATCCATCTCTGATAAGTCAGTCATGTCCACTGCATATTTTCCTGTAACACAGTCAAATGGTACTTTCTACTCGCAAACTCCACACAGCCCTACCCTCTAATTTCCAGGGACTGTTGAACTTAGGTTAACTTCCCTAGAAGTTTCAGTAGCCAGAGTTACTCTCCCAGATGAATCCTGTCTTTCAAAGTGAGAGACCATCTAAGGTTGTAAGATTAAGACTTACGGTACATGCCCCGTGTATTTATGCCTCTGCTTCTCTAATGACATCATTGATTGCTGCTGTGGTTTCTAGGTGACTATTCTTAGATAGAAGCTTGATTCTAACTTTTCAGAGTTTTGCTTGATTGTTATTCTATAAATTTTTAAGTGATTTTTTTATGTGGTCTATTTATAAGCTATCCCTTTGCAAGTCATTTATAGTAAACCTTGCCATTATAGATTAGACAGATAGTAATCTATGATTATCTAGCTATTATTGAGAACATGGCTGTGGCTGTGCTAGGGGACAGCAGATCTCTAAATGCATTTTAGCAACTACAGAAACTTTAGCTATAATAGTTTTTAAAGCAATCAAATTCCCTCTTGTGAATGTGTAAAGAACTAAATGTATGCACTAGCTCGTGACACTGGAGAAAAGTGTGTCTTGTTGACTTACCTGTCATATAAGCTATTTTTCTAGCTATCAGTTTTGTATAAAACAAATCTAGGAATCATGTCCTCCTTGTGAAGCTATGCAAGATAGCCACATGTTGATACTGTCTGTTCTAGGTATGGCGCTATGTCTTTTCTAAGAGTGTGTATAAGCCTAATAGCAAAAGAGCTGGAATCTCATTATGTTGCTAAAATGTCCTATTTTATTTAATATTTATATAGCTTAACTGTTATAATCACTTTCTGATCAATGAAATACATTCACAAATAGCATCAAAATTTCCATAAACTATTTTTCATATTTAGAAAAAAGTATTCAAATTTGAAGTTTATAGTTCACCAGTGGAGCATACATTTTAATGAAGAAATGCCCTTTCTTTCAATTTAAAATACCTTTTGCACTTGGCTGATTTACTGATTTCTTCTACTTTTAATCTACCACCAATGAAACATTGTTGATTTTAGAGTCTCACAAGGAATTATATTCAGTGTATTGGGTCATAATAAAATGAATAGAAAAAGAAGACTTTTTTGAATAATATAGAGAAAAGTCATTATCAGGTAGGTATTCACAGTCTGGTGAAGCCCATATCTTGGTGTTAGGTATGAAGAAGAGGAACAGAAACCGGAGGAGAAGGAGGAACTCTTGAATCACATTTTTATGTTTTGATGATTCTTTTTCCTTTTATAATTAATTTATACTTAGTTTATGAACAAAGAATTTTCATTATGAATTGCTTTCAGGTTTTTATAAAGTTATTATATTAGATATTTCTATCATCACTGTGACCACATTTCTGACAAGAAACAGCTTAAGGGAGGAGGCTGTTATTTGCCACATGATTTGCAGGGATGCAGTCCATCCTGATGCGGAACCATGGTAGTGGGTGGCTCCGTGGTGGTGGGTGTATGCAAAAATTGTGTGCTCACTTCTCAGTGCTCTAGGAAGCAGAGAAGGGAGAACTCCTGTGCCCCTCTGGCTTTCTTCTTTTTCCTTTCTTGTTCAATCTGGAATCCCAGTTCATGGGATGGTGCTTTCCATATCCAGAGCATGTATCCCCCCTCCAACACATATATACACTCAATTAATTCTCTCTGAAAATGCCCTTGCAAACATATCTAAGGGTATCTCACTAGTGCCACAGACATTCCATAATCCAGCAAGCTGGCAATCAAAATTAACCATCACAGCTATCTAATACCTCTACTTCTTTCAGGTTTTAGTACTATCCAGCTACCCAGGCTCCAATGGATACCTCTCCCCACCATGCACATATGGGCAGCACTGATTGGACTGAATGGGTTAGCAAAAAAAAGATATGAAGGTGGGAGGGGAGCTGTAAGGGATATGGGGGAGTTAGAAGAGGTAACCGATGGAATTATATGGTCATGTTTCATTGTATATATGTGCAACGGACCAGCCCAGACCGGGGCAGTTCAGTCCGATGGGAACAGGGTCATCAAGAGGGTGGACAAGGAGTCGGCTAGTGACAAACAGACGTAAAGGAGCTTGATGAAAGTCTGAGTGTAATTTTGC